ACCATCGATGATCAAACTGGAGGTCGACACAAGCCATGGCAAACCAAGCCTGTCATCACTATGAAGCTGGTTCAAAACGAAAAGGTTTGCTTGGAAGAATTAAATACTGTATTGGCTGTCTTTGCAAGAGATTGTATGGCAAATACGTATGCAATCGCCACTACGATTCTGAATGGAAGCTGATGGATTGCGCATCCTAAAAAAGGAACGGCAAATCTTCTTCGTTTATCCTACCTTAGCAGGACTGAAACGGAAGACCTACGAACCCCAACTAGACACAGGAGGCGATTTTGTGATGCTGTTTGTAAGTAGGGCAGTGGTCAACATTAGCGAACGTGAGGATAAAGCAAATGGTCAGTATGAAGGCTTAAGCATCTATCATTTTTAATCGAAATCGCAAAGAGAAAGAGAAACGTTGGTCGGCTGGAGTTCTCTCTATGGACCATATCCGCGACGATGTAATGGGGGAGCTTTGGAGTAGCCCCTATTGCTGATAATATGCGCAAAGCTGGCTTTACAATTAGATGGGACGACCATGTCCTACGCGCGGACAAAGATGTTTTGTGAGATCAGTCTCGGATTCGAATACCCGCAAAACGGACTGAGGGACTTCCAAAGCAGCGCTTTCTTGATACTTTGCATGTGAAATTGAATGTAGTTGGCTTTCATCCCGACCAAGCATTCAGTCGGGAAAGTGGCGACAGAACATCAACACCCAAGGAGAGGCTTTCTAATTTGTGCAGCACGGCCACCGCACCCTAATAGACCATCCTAAAATCTCTCTCAGCTTAGGTCCGACCCCATGCTTTTCATGGGACGGACCAAATATCTTTGAAATAGTAAAAACGCTGACTCAACTATCGCCTGAGCTTAAGTCGTGTAGTGCCTCGGGAGACCCACTTAGAAGCATTTTTTGGCTAGCTGTCTAGATTTACTGTGTGCCTTAGCTATTTAACTCGGCGTGCCACATGGCTGGAGATTCCAAATGGTGACTCAAGTTATGTAAAAATGAGTTAGGCTTGAAGCATACAAATCAAAACACTGGCCACAAACATAATCGAATTCTTTATTTCACGGCGACAAAGATTCTAGGAGAGGTCATCCGGTCAGAACGCGACATCGCACGAATTTGCCGCGCGCGTCAATCCGCCGCGATTCACTCTGGAATGCACATGCGGCACGCCGCAAACTTGTGCGGCGTCGCGTCACGAACTGGCGACACACTCCGGGCATTTTACAACATTCAAGTGGAATTTTTTTAGCAGCAAATTGAGGCAGGGCTTTATTAGAAGGGATCTGTTTTGATAGCACATTTTTATGGCTTCATTCAATCACAACGCTCGATATTATTATTGCAGCAAGAAAATCTATCAAAAAATTGATCAATCCTATCGAATTTGGTATCACATCAATATTTGGCAAGACTTCCGTCTCTATGGAAGAAAAGGGAGGAAAAATACGAAAAAAATTGATACACCGGCTACACACCCACTAACTTACTGGCCCACTCCGTAAAAAAAAAAAATACTGGCCATGCCCGACAAAATAGATCTTTGAGTCAATGAATTGATCAGTGAGCGATCGGAGAACACCTTTTGATTTCTTTGTCTCCCTCTTTTATTAATGCTTCATCTAATACGAACCAAATGTCACCCGTACACCTAGTTTCGTGAACTTCGAGCCACTTCGTCCACGGTTCTGCTCTAGGGAAACTTAATTCTACTCTTTTCTTACTACTCATTCCTCGGTTCACTTTAATTGAAGGGCTTAACCGCGCACTTCACTGGCAGCTGACTCACATATGCCCGTCTGGAGAACTGGAGACTGAGCTAAGTGTGTTGTAAGACCCGAATTTTCCAGTTAACAAAGAATATTCTGTCATCTGAATGCTCTTGGAGAGTAGTTTCAGTTAGAATGACGAAGGAAAGACGAGAGGAATTGAAGCGAACGAGAGAAGCGGTGTAGATCGATCGAGCTGAGAAGCAGCCGAGAAGCACTCCAAAGCCCGTGCCACGCTATCTCGACGCATCAGGCAGCAGCCTAACTCTTGCCACCATTGACAGTTCAACGGATCCACCCGGACCAATTCCCTGAAATTAGAATTGTGGTTTTTTTTTGAAAAGGTAAAAAATAACATGGTTAAAACACCGATGAAAAGGTTAGATTAGATTTGAGTTCAGTTAGTCGCTGTGTGGCAAAACTAACAAGTTTTCGTTCCAATTTGTGCCCCTTTTTGAACTTTTCTTCCTGTTACCACTCCCCAACTATTACTAGAATGAAGCTATACTAATCAATAATCACTAATTTGCGCTGTTTTCCTTCTCCTGAGTCCAGACAATCTTAGTCACGCGCAATCTATAATACTTTACGAATGATGGCTCCGAGAGCCGGCAAAAATGAATATCTCTGACGGGATCTATTAGTTTTCGCATATCCGCTCAGGCGACCACACACATCAACATCAATAAACACTTTTCATCAGCTGAAGCACCTGTTACGAAGGCTTCTTCCAAAACCCTTCTCGAAAAGCTCTATTCTGGTTCGTTGAGCAGAGATTACTGAGCAGATTAAGAAACAACCTTTTAATTTGACACTTTAATTACATATGATTCCAAAATACCCGAATCAATGTTTTCTAGTCGTTACATGTAGTTCGCTCTCGCCAAGGTCCCTCCTCCCAGAAACACTCGACCCCTTCCTTGCTCACTCTGTTTTACGCCTAGCAGCTGTTGTTTTATATCAATCTGGTAACAAGATCTATGAGGTAGAGAACCAGAACACAAACACGCAGGAATTCGTCAGGATGGGAACAATAGAATTGAAAGGCACAGTTGGCAACAAGTGAGTTTTGGGTTAGGATGTGAGGGTTTTGGCTAAGTATGGTTCTCCGACAAAAAAGCGAGTGAATAAGGGGAAATTCTGAGATATGAGACCTTTTATGAATTAATTATTGTTAAGCGTTTCCATGTAAGGTAGGGGAGAGGTGTTTGGACGAGATTTCAGTTGCTGCAGAACAATGTGGCTTAGGTTTAGCTTGAGTCAGCTGCTAGATATGCAACAAACACGCTCACGTTCCAATTATATCAGCCTCTACAGGGAAGGACAACTCGTCCTTTCCTGGGAGTGGTGGGCAGAAGTAGGCATCGGGGCCGGCTATGAGTCGTCACTTTTGACGCGATTATGTCCGATGCTCAAGGGCCATATATGCTTGCCAAAAGGGAAAGTCCGAAACCATTTAATCTTTATTGTATCTCCATTTCATATTACAAGTTTAGCACCAGAAGAAGGTTTCATGGGAGCGCACCTCAACACTACTGTGGGATTCATTCCAGTACCAGCACTCTTTCTGTAGTAGGAAGTTACCCACTGGAGCCTACACTTGTTCGAGAAGATTATATTGGTTAATATTAATCGACATAAAATTCTCCTATCTAGATTAATCGATTACTATCTAAATCTGGCCCTTTTTAGCCGAACTACTCAACTGCTACTCGTACGAACACCGGAAAAATTAGACAAAAAGGAAAAAAACATGGGAAGAAGTATCAACCGGCAAAAATAAAGGACATCCCGATAAGGGCCAGCTTTCACTTCCTGTCTGTGCCCACTACTAAAGTGAAGGAACAAAAATATACAGCTCTAATTAAGATTGGGAGGCCGATATTCTCCATTCAATTTCCGGTGAAAAAAGTTCACTCAATGGCAGAGGGCATAATGAATCGAGCATGTAAATAGGTTTACATTTGCAGAACGGGGAGTACTTGCAGAAGACAGAGGGAAGCACTCAGATAGCGAAGGAGAAGTTATAGCAAACGTTTGGGCCGTAAAACGCACAGGAAACAACGGAATTATGCTCCAAACTCAGCACTCTGGATGCCGAGTATCCTCTAAAGCTGTGGGGGACGAAAGGGGAAACGGGCATTAGGAGTGTTTTCCTGTAATCGATTCGCCGCACGCAGCTGTCGCGGACCATCCGTTCGCCGTTATTACAGCCCTAGGGTTCAGCATACAGTTTAATCGATATGCGATCCTTATTTTAGGCATGATTCTACCATTAGTCTTTTGTTCGTGTATTTCTTACGTGCTGCCGCATTCTGCTATACTCCTTCGCGCGCGGCGTCCCTCTTGCCGCGACGCGACGTTCGTTCCTACTGCACCACACCCGGCTGAAAGGTCTTATAAAAGAATTTACTTGTTTACTGAGTCTAATCGAGATGAAATGCTGATGTATGTGTTTTCCAAAGTATGAACACCAATTCATATAAAATATGTGCACCGATAAGCTCCTATTCACTGCATCAATCATTCAAGGATCAGTGCTGTTCTGTTCTGGCTGCTGCCGAAGACATGCCACAGCTGGCAGCTCAACCTAACTTTTTCCGAGGGGTATGTTAGTAAATATGGTAACTTATTTTAACTGTTATTATTAAAAATAAAGTGAGCTGAGATTTCCTAACAGCCCGCATACCTGTACATTTGCTCAGCCATAGCGATATTACCATCAGCGGTATAGAGTTTGGCAAGATGAAGTAGGCTGGGTGTATGTGATGGACACAGAGCTAGCGCAGACAGAAGCGATGCCTGAAATACGCCTTTTAGCCCCCAGTAATACAGTAAGTTGGCATATGTGGACAGATACGATGTAGAAAGGTTGCTAAGCCAGCAGAAGAAGAAAAAGCCATAGGTGTCAGCGAGCGAAAAACGCCTTAGAGAGGAGCTATAGTTAGGCTCTGAGGTGACAAACTGATCCTCACTCCTACCCCAGTATTTGATAGTACACGAAAACGTGCAGAAATCTCCAAAACAGTACAGCCATTTGCTTCAGGAAGATCCCCTGCCCTCTGTTACCCACAAACCGACCATGCAGTCATTGGAAAGACAAAAGGCCATTATTTTCAAATCTTACAACATAATTATGGTCTCTTCAGCAAGCCGTCTTCTGGGAAAACACGCTATCTCATATCTGTTAACACCTTTCACGCACCATAAACGCCTACCCAAACCGTCATACTTCCTGTGCAAATAATCAAAACCTCACATTCGCCTCTGCACGGAATCGCGCTGCCGTTGCCTCATCTGGAGCCTTTTCAGCTTTTGCTGCGAATAATCGACCCTAATAAAAGTGTACAAATAATCAACGAATTTTAAATCTTGTAAAAAAACCTACACTGCCGATCAAATAGAGCCAAATTCACTTGTAAAACCAAATAATAACTCACTTTGAGGTACAGAGCCTGATATGCATGGGGAAACAGATTGGCAGCCTGCTCTACGCATGGAGCAACATCGTTCAATCGACCTTCCGCTAAGAAGAGCTCTGCTAATGCCGTCCACATATTTGCCTGGAACTCGTCCAGCGAATTGATGTCAATCTTTGCATTGATTCGATTATCAGAGTTATCAGGTAGTACCTGAGCTCGGAACCGTGTCCACAAAGCCGTTGATGCGTTTGCAGCTATTCCACCGCCTTCACTGGAAACTGATTGACCTCCCGCTTCAGAAGCCGGCACTCCACTATCTGCGGCTAAAGATTCATGGCTAATATTGGTGGAACTGGGAACTATGTAAGCCAATCCCTACCCGAGACAGCCATATCGAGCCCTGACTGACTGCTGCCTACATTCGGATTTAGAATAGGCGTCGTAATACCGATACCAAGTGGAGTAGCGAACAATGGCGTTGCAGATGATATCTCTCGCCCAATTGAAGGAGTACCTGTTAACAAAGTATTACTTAAACTCAGTAGGTTTCTTAATTCTTTGCTCCAATCAACCTGGATTCTAGCTTTTAGGACTACATTAAATCTCAATTAATCCGAGAAACACTTATCACTTGGCCCTGTCTTCCCAGAGCATTATCTGGCGCTAAACCGCTGCGAGCATCCATTCATGAGATATTAACAAAGAACATTAGCAAAGGGCGAAGGCAACTGGCGCTGTTACTGCACAGCATCCACACAGACAAGCTCTACACCAAAGCCCTTTCCTTTCAACCGTGGATCTCATCCCTCGGAGTTCGATTAATGATTAGCAAGGGCAGACTTATCTAGCACACTTGAACCCACAACGCTTAGAAGACTACATTCCCACATGGACCTCCCAAGTGCCCAAAACTCAAAACAAGTCTATTTGTAGGCAAAAGTTCAAAAGTATCTTCAAAGATCTTTCCCGCCACCCCGATTACTGCATCCTATTAGCAGTTCGATCAAGTAAAATCAAACTTTTTTTATTGGAAAGCTTTAATTCATAAACGCACCTGCTTTTATACTCGACGCATCTTTCAACATACTCTGACCATCAGTTGCGTTCAGCGTAAGCTGCATCCGTTCGTCTTCAATACAGCAATCTCGTTTTCGCCAAAAATCCAGCAAATCCGAACAAGTATTCAATGACTCGTCAATACGCCCTACAACTCAGTTACGTTACAAAAAAAATTCCGATGGATAGGTGAATTCTAACAAACTGACCAAACTTTGTTTCAATATGCAACCGTAGGACCAGAAGACCATAGTGTGTTGGGAAATCTTTTAAAGCACTCACCACAAGCTCAAGTGCACCCTGGAAGTAGAAAAACATGGCTTAATGAAGCTCCAGCTCACCTGAGGCAAGGAAAAGAGAAAAAACGGGACCTTGAGATCAGCTTCAGCGGTGAAAATAAGGGCTAACAACATTATGGCAGACGGTTGCTCGGGATTCAGTTCTAAAGACCTGGCACAACGTTCACGAGCTGCTTCCAAATCTCGAACTGAAAAATATGAAGGTAAGCCACTAAATGAGTTATTCAAATTTAGCAGAACATCTGAATATAATAATAACGAGTACCAAAGATTAAACCTATAAAAGTGATCACTAGCCAATAAAGTTATGATTGACTGATTCAGATTTTCTTATTGTGAAATCGATATTCGATCAACGAAACCAGAAAAGGTATCACAAATGGAATAGGCTACCTCTACAAGCTCCAGACTATGACTATTACCAAAAACTTTGATCAAATGATCCTTTTTCGTATACCTTTGCTAACCCGCAAGTTTGACCGATCTCTTGGCTGTATAAGTTATGAATGCTTGCCAAGCGGTCATTCGACTACTAGCTTTCCTTCTGTGGTCTACGTAATGGTACAGAAACTGTGTCGCACCCTTTCCATCCATAGGATCAAATCTCTTCTCAAACAGAGCCTTTAATTTTCTCTTGCCGTAAGTCGATTAGAGGTACACAGGATTTAATGGGCGATAGCAATAGCTTTCATTTTGCCGCTCTGAATAGAAATCGGTGACGTGTTCTAAGAGGACTGAATGTCGTGGAGCATACTAATCCTTCATTCCTCGCTGTCAGTATGAAGGAGATTGGATATCAGCTCCCCTCAAACCCCCAATGAAGTACATTTTAAAGACACTTCACTGATTGGCAGTGAAATTAAGGATAAAAGCTTTTGGCCTCAATCAAATCCATCTAAGAGATGCGCTTTCGCAATCGACTTCCATTCAAGATCGCACTGGCTTATGTGCCCTGTACCGTAACTTGCGGTGGCCAGCCGATGTACATGTCCTCCCAGACTAGTCTGATACCAATCAACCCCTTGACGACAATGCGGACTTCGACATGACGCGCCCATGGGACCACGCCCCCCTCTTTTTGAGCGCGAATGGCATCCACCGGTGGGAGACACTGTACCAGGAAAAAGTTCTTTCACTGGCTTAGTGAGTTTGGCAATTGGTAAAAAACAAGAAAGTATGGTGGCACCCGAAATTGTGTGCTATTGTCCCATGCGATAGTCGTAGTGGCACCCACCGGTGGGTGCCACTCGTCAAAAGGTTAACAGACTCCGCAGGAATGTAGGACTTGGTTGACCAGGGCTGATATCGATCCGGGATCGAAACTTAGGCCATGCATGTGTGATAGTGCACCACTTGCCAGCACACAACCTCGGCCTTCGGCCATGAATTATCAAGATATTTTAATAGTTAAAAATTGAGCAACAGCCTATTGTTTACCGTGCCTGTTCATTTTCAACCCGTTACCTCATCTTTCCTGAAATTGATATGAAACTGTGTTTTGGCAACGAATTTCTCATTGCCGAAAATCCATGTGGGGATGGGTGTACTACCAAGTAAACACCTAATTATCCAAACCCGTGCTTTGCTCTCGCTGCTCAGAACCGGGCGAACAGGAAAAAAGATTACAAAATCAAAGGAACACACATAAAGAGCTACATTGAAAGCCGCGAAGTCAGCTTTTAATTCATATGTAGTAAAGATACCTATGGCATGGTACAGAGCGCAGTAGTAATGGGCCAGATAGTCGTGAGGATCCGCATGTACACAATTCTCAAACATTCCTAACGCTTTAGCGAGTAGACGGCGACGATTCTCGAAACATGGTTCAGCTTGAGCTTTTCTCCTGAAATAATACAGACTTCTGGAATGAGCCTACTCTAGGGACCGGAGACTTCACTTGTTGAAAGGTTCTCAATAAAAAATTGAAATACGAAAGTAGTAAAATCAAAAAAGGGCATACCCGTGAGCTATGGCACATAGCAGCTGAGCTCTTCCTTTCAGGTAAGTGAACGGACCATCGGAACACAAGGCCACTGCAGCCGTGGCGTGATTGATGGCTGGAATGAGCCATCACTTCAAGCTTTCTTTTTTGGTGAATGCAAGCGAGCAAAACACCTGGTAATAATACAGCAAATAACATGGGTTAGTTAAATACCGGCCCTACTCTCCTACTGGGAACACTTCATTACACACGTCACCCCCTGAACCGATGCCAGGCAACAATACACCTAGTAAGCGATTTTTGCGCCAGATAGGGAATAGGAACCGGATCATAACTAACTACTGAAAGCAAGTCGACAGAACTGTCCTAGGAATCTAAATAGAGTTCCTTAGGAGGGGGAGGTTGACTCCTGAAATTGTACAGACGATACTAAAGGAGTCGTCATTACCCTTCTCCTTTCCCTCTAGCCATCCAATCCTCGACTCCGATCACTCTCAGAATAGGAATTGCTAGAATGTTGAAACGATCAGCAATAAGATGAAAGGGGGTCGTGGGGATGAGGACGTGTTGCGGCCGCAGGTGCGGCTCCTGCTCGAAGTTGTTGGACTTAAAAAGGCCAGCGACAGGTGAGAATGGGGAAGAGGAGTCCCAAGCATCAACAGTCCCGATGATTCCATGTTGTCTTCAGCCAAAGACAACCAACATTCATCCTTGAACTACCGGTTTGGAATGAACTACAACCGTCTCAGATCGTGATCGCACCTCAGGAGATCCACCAACCTGCATCATTCTGACCAAGGTGCTCCATGTGAAGAACGGCAGCTTGCATGTGATGCATGGCGGTATTAGACGATACTACTTCCAGCTTCTCTGCTGAACGATTATCGTCCTTTTTCTCTGCGGCAATGCACTGCTCCAGCACTCGGACAGCTCTCAACCATTTTCCCCGACAAACCAGAGAAAGTGCAAACTGTTGCCTAAAAAATCAAAAAAAAGTTTTGCAAAAAATTTCAAAACAACGTCAACAGCAGATTTTATAATTTCGAGTGAAATTAGTGGTGGTGAGCAGAAAAACACTCACTCAGAAAATAACTTAAACATCCGCAAACTAGGTGTTTTTCATTAAAATGCTGCAAAATATAATTCAAAATCTTTTAGAAACTTCGCGCGACAATCAGCCTCCGAAAAAATAGCCAGACGGCCATCACAGGGAAAAACTACAAAAAAAGAAAGCAAATATGGCAACCATTAATGACCAGTTGTTGTACAGCATTGACCTACAGCCTTGAAATTTTGCTTGTTGTCGTTATCCTAAAGCAGCCGTTGCGCAGGAAACGCTCCAAGAACGACGATATTAAATTAGCGTTAGAATTTTTCTACAATTTAAAGTTTAAATTAAGAAAAAAAAAGTGACGGAAATTAATTGATCAGATGGGATTGGGCTCTTTTCATCTAGAGCTCATCATTCCAGCTTGAAACTATTTCCACAAAAAATTTGAAAAAAGAAAATAACGGGATGGGACTTCCTGAAACGCTAATATTGACCTCTTCGATCTAGAATTACAAATCCGCAGAGAAAAGCTTACCACAGATATTCGTCCTGATTGACGAATTTCATAGCTCTTTCATAGATTGTAGACAACAACTGATACTGACGAAGGGTCGACAACACCTAAACAACAGAATGCTAGGCGACTACGATATTTGCAAAATAACTAACAGCTATCTCCAAATCGACCGAGTAAATGCAAAATAAGGAAAACTAAGAGATCATAATCAAGCAGTTCACTGGTAATTGCCCGGCGATGGTCACGTAGTTGTTTACGTCCTACATACGCTTGTGATGAAGGAGCTGTTGTAAGGAGTTTTCATCACAAGTTGACGAAAACTCATTTAATTAGCCCATCCGTGAATACCCGAGTGTGTTACCCCCTGTACATACGGAATCATTATTATTTTACGAAGCAATGATTGCTATAGAGCATTCCTTTCGAAAGACAAACTAACAATTTGATAAATTTACCAAAAATTATTGGATTAATAGACTGGTTGACTGACTAGTGAGTTGACATTTCACAAAACGCGTTCTACAGACAAATCAGTGCTGACGGCACTCATTGTTAGGCATTTTCTGACTTTATCTGGTCTTCTTTATTTCAAATTACTCATAAGTGAGGGGGTAAACGCTTTTGAGAAAGTGGCCGTACAGTTGACGATCAAAATGGAGTCCTCTCATGAAGCAGCTCGATAGCATCTTCAGAAACTCTCGGGAAAGGATAGTTGGCTCGGAACCAACTACCAGTTCAGAATCGAATTAACGGTTAATTCTGTACCATCCCTTTCAATGGGCACTTTCTTCGACACTCTAGAAGGGATTGAAGTCAGAGATAACGGTGGGTTTTCAAAGTCAGTATTAAGGAGAGGAAGAACCTCATAGGTACCATTTAAAGAATCACACGGATCCCCTACTTGTGGTTGCTCAGCACATTTATTCGGTGGTCTGCCCGTCGCCCTCTCCTAGCTCACCGATTCCACGTGGGATGTCGGTATACCCGTGTTTCGGAGTTTCGGTTGAGCCCCTATGACCCCTGGTGTGGCGAGTGGGCACCATAGCCGACTGGTGCGGGTCTGTGCTGCGTTCGGCCTCTGTATATTGTGTTCTGCAGCCACGTCAGTACTCTGATCTTGTGTGATGTGATAGACTGTCAGAGGTTCGTTCCTGAGCTTCAGTAGTGAAGTTTGATCCAATTAGTTGAAAAGTGGTATATGAACCCCCTGTCCTACAGGCCTTCCTGTCAAGAATTTTTCTGTTTGGTCATTTCGTTAATTTTGTTTCTCTCACCTCTTAATCTCTCTTGTAATGCAGAACCAGCGGCTCGAGCTTTTATTTGTAGCGCGCCTTTTGAGCGCATTCAATAAATAAATAAGTAAATAAATAAATAAATTCACAAGCCAAATTACATAGGTGGAGCTCTCCACATCCAATGGACACAGTAGTAGGGTCGGAATTTCTCGTTTGATCCTTCCAAGTAGGGGCTCCTTCGGAATAATTTCTAGTGCGATCGACGCAACAACCTTCTCTGAGACTTGGATCCATTCGGTTCAAAAGATAGAGAAGACTTTGAAAAGTCCATTCCACCACCAAGCATTATGAACAGATAGGTGGAAGATCGAGCACTGTGTCATAAGAAAGGAGAATACTGCTGATAGTTCACATTTCAATAAGTTTCTTTCTGCTTTCTGATAGTAAAAATAACTTAATGTATCAATTACGGTAATGCTTACCTATACTGAAAAATTACTAATATGCTATACAAATACCTCAAAAAATAAGAATAAAAAGTGAAAGAAATGCGACAATCTACCATAATCTTATAGCGTGACCACTCCCAATAGATGGGCTCTTGAAGGAAAACAATTTTGGGTTTCTCATTAGGGCATGGAGAAGGTGTATAAGCATAATTAATTTGAACTATGCGCTTACGGTGACACCTGAACTTTTTTTAGAGTGGTTAGTAATTACAATTACATTGAAGATGACTTAAAGAAACAAATGCTCGATATACTTTTGAATCTAGTGCTGCTGCTACCGCATTCTCCACAACAACTGCTTGATAACATAGTGTACGGGCTACGAGACGAAAAAATTGCAACTGCACACAGGAAATTTTTCACTAATTTTAGGAGTCTTAGCGAAACAAAAAAAAACATTGTTTCTACTAAATGCGAACAGCTGGGAAAGCTATTGGACGTTAAGGGGGGAAGGAATGGCTTCCTGTTAATGCTTGCACATAAATTTAAGACGAAGCGTATGAGAGCGTATTGTATTTTTGCGAAGGAAACGCCAAAAAATTTTAATCTTTTGTCCTTTCATTCATTCATTGAAACCACACAACCCTTTCCAACCTTCTAAAGAAGCACCTCACGAGAAGGAGATACTCCGGGTTAATTACGCGACCGATGCTATATCAACCCAAAACAAATACCAGCTCACTCACCACCGATTACGACATGATTCGCGCGTGGCGTAGCTAGACTCCAAACTCAAAATTAACCGTGAGCTGACAGGAACCATCGAAAAAAAGAAGGAAAGAAAAATCGAACGTAACGTCAGGACAACTTCAACTGAAACTGCCGACCTATGGAAGTGAGGAAAAGCAACGATAGTTCACATTCGAATGATCCTGACCCATGAACACTGTCGTAAACTTGACTGATGAGCTCAAGATTACTCATTACTACGAAAAATGGACTGAAGTCTCTTTATCCGAGTGGTGTACTGCCCCCTGATGTCGAGGCTTCACCCAAGCCTTTAAGATGATGAAAACTAGCGAAGTCAAGTAACTGTTTGTAACCTACTAATTATGAAAGTTTCAATGAAGAAATAGACATGATAGTCTAAAGAAAAAACTGAAGTTCCTCCTCTGCTACGTTTTTTTTTCTTATGTTCCTCTACCACTCCCTTCAACGCTTCCTCTCAATTAGCGATAGTTTTTCTTATTTTTCCCTCCTCTCTGGCCTTTTTGTTTTGTTCATCGACTACCCTCTATGCTGTACAATTGTATTCAATGCATTTAATATACCTATCTTTTAATCGATTTTGTCTCTGACTATTGCTAATGTGATCTTCTACCTTAATCAACTCGCCCCACAGCGGCCTATGTTATCTGGGCATACCAAGGCGTTGGCGGATCTGCTAAACTGGGGTCGCATTCCTTCAATGCGGCTTGCAGTGTTGGCCGGCTATTGCCCTTACCTTTTGGGCGGCCCAATTGCTCCTCCCCACCCATTCCCCCCTCCCCCCCTCCACCCCGTTTTTCTGCCTTTCTTTTTATCCTTCATGTGAATAGGAATTAATACTTCATTCTATTGTAACTCTGATGCAATTCTGAGCCTACCATTGTATATCGCTTGAACAATAGCCAAATTATTAAAGTAAAATACTTGATCACTTCCTGTAAAAAAAAGAACCTAATAAGATGGCCCTCACCAATGTCAGCAGGTTGTATACTGATTTCGCACTTCGAATCGACTGATGTCGTGATGATGACACGTCGGCACTTCGACTCAGCACAACTTCTCTACTGGAAAGTACCTAAAATCGAACCTTCGAGTGAGCTAATTCCTTAAAAGTCGGAAATACATCGATACAAGAGAATTCATAGCGCTAGCGCTGTACATGAAGGATCACTGGCATAATCTCTGCTATTCAAATAGATATGCGCATATATTTCGCACATGTGAACAAAATTCCAATAACCACAAACCTCTTGACACAATTCCCTACTTCGTGACGAAAGCAAGAGATTTGGTTTGGGTAAACTAATGCTAATGATAATAATGTATTAACAGTGAATAATAATATTAAATAATAATGCTACGTGACAAATAATGGTCATAAAAGTAAAAAAAGAAAACTCCTTATTTTATATGAATTATGAATATATATCAGCATAAAAACTGCACAGTCTCAAGCCAGAGGGTTTACAAAATAAAAACAAAGAAGCTGGTACCTACTTTATTGAACCCTTTAGGTGTGCTCCACACTACTTTGTGACTCAAAAAAGGAGGGCTTCTGCAAGATGGGCATTAGCGACAAAGTCCATCACCTTACGAGATCAGTAGTAAATAGGTAGCGCAGAGCTTACAATCAATAGGATCGTTTGAATTCTGACCTGTTCTGGCTCATGTATTTTAGTGATGTCGTTGGGCACTGCCATATCTACCAGCTCATCCACCTTGCCCATTCATCCTAATTTATAGTCGGATTCTGCCTGCAGCGGTGAATGTGCTTCTGAGTCGGAACTCAATGCATTTGCGACTGACCAAAAACCTCAGATTTCAACCGTGGTTTCGATATACATAAGAATGCTAGCTCAGGCATTGAAATCTTTAAATACGAGTTCGTGCAAAAACGCCGGATAGTTGATTCGGAAGAAAAGTAAAAAATGGGCCTAAAAAGTTACCCAAAATAGTGAAAATTTCAATGGAAAAAATGCGAATCATGGCAAAAATAGATAGAGCAAAATAAATACAATCCATTTTAGCTTTACTGCAAAACATACTTCTGTGTGAAAGGAACCTAAAGATACAGGAACTACACAAAAAGAAATTTAAAATTGAATTAGCGGTATGGCCATAAGATATTGGCAAGAACAAGCAATACTCAGGTTATCTCGATCCATGCGGTAAAAAGGACTCGGAACTATGACCTAGGTCGATGGTCAGACGCCTGAACGAATTTGCAAGGTGTCAAAGACCAAGTAATTGATGCGATATGCGATACGGGATGAGCGCTGGTCTGGGGCTGTTACAAACGGGATCCCTCGTGAAACCGACTAACAACAGAAACATCGCTGGCTCTCCATTCAAATCTCATCACGCTTGACTTGAAATAGGTCTACCAACCGTTAAAGGAGATATGCTATTCGATAGATTTCCACAGTCTAATCAAATTCAAGCATACCGCTTGATCCAAGAGTAGATAAATTAGGAAAATAGGGTAAGCTCGTACTATTAAGATGTAACCAAACAAAACTGGCAAAAAGAAAAACTGTTCGCCAGGATTTGCAGAATAGAAAATCACGTTCGACAGTTCGACGAGCAAAACTTTCGAAGAATAACTGAATCCACCAAACAATTTTTTCACACTTTTTTATACCAAAATATAAAGAGTGATTTTGTATTGTGTACAGTAGTAGACCTAAGGAAACTCTCGTAGGGTTTCAACTTTGTCGCAGACACCCCTTTTGGAACTCGAAAAATATTTCGGTCACATTTCCATTAAAATATTGTAGAAGTCGTAACTCTGGGAACAAAAACCGTCACAAACAGATAGCTTCCATACCTCACTGATAAGGAGAAGCAGGACAACCTCCTCCGTTCTTGA